GCAATGTAAAAGTTAATTGTCACTTTCAGATATCTCTTGACTTTTACCAGGATTGCCTAGTGAGCTGCCAAAATTAACATATAACCATGCGACTGACTCTTTTTTTTTAAGGAGGGTATGAAGTTCTTTGTTGTTGATTACTCATGGTAAGAGATGCTAGACAAGCTTCTTCCCTTCTATAGTTTTATCCAGTACTATAATTCAATATAGATGTATTTATTGCATAGGACGTGCCCACGATCATCAATAACAACACAAACCTTAAATGGTGTACTCCAGGTCACCGCCCAGTGACTGTCAAATCCACCGCACCCAGGTTTTGGAGGACAGTGGCTTCTGCACCCAGGCTGGTTGTAAATAACTTCCAAATGGAACCTGGCATCCCTCAAAGGAATTCTAATTCTGGCTTCAGAGCAGACTAACTCTGCGCAGCACCTGTCTAAAAGGACATATTTATCCGAGCGATGATCAGATTGTTACATCTTTCTCAGCATTAAGCCAAAAGTAATCCGACCATTGCTAAGTTGTTTCCTGTGGTTTTATTTGCAGTCAGTATGCATTGTAGATCATGTTATCTGCAGTGGGGTTTCTTACTGAGATATCTCAAGATAGTTGTTCACAGACAGGTCTTAAGAGTACCTGAAAGGATGTGACTGTGAATACCAGAAAAATAGAAGAATTAGGTGGTAGAACTTAAGGCCTAATTGATTGCATTATAATATAAGAATTTTAAATTTATCCTAAAAAATTTGTTAAAAAGCTATTGGTTCTGTGACCCCCTGCAGACAGAAAATGTTACAGCAATAAATCTTGGGTAGAGATATTTGTGTTGTATTTTTCCTCCTATTGTTTACATTGTTTGTCTGGATAGGAGAAGGGGATATGTGGAATAAGGTGAATAGAGCCTACACCATCATTATCATCAAATAATTCACTCTCGGTGAATTACATATTACCTACTTTTGTTCAAAGTACATGTACCATCACTGTTCTGGTTAAACAGATGCATCCTCGACATGGACATATAATGATGTCCAGAGTTCACATAGCAAAAGGATATTGGTTAAGCCGATATTTAAATTGCACACACTATTTTGCAAGACAAGAGAATAACAAGCAGAATGCACAATAAAAGAGACTCGTTTTCAACACCAGAATCTCGGTTATAATAAACAATTCTTCCAGTCCCTGGATCTTAACAAAGGAGTAGCTGTTGCTTTAACCTGGAGGTCTATGAAGAAAACAGAATTGTTTTAAAGAACAATTTAATGACTATCCTAGAATTAGAAATTCATACATTTTATAATGTAAATAATTTAAATAGAAAATCATTAAATAATATGTGGATGCAGATATGTTCACAGTTATGATTTACGTTCTTTTATAACTGAAGGTACTTGAAGCTTCCTCTTCTGTGTTGTTTTGATCCTTCTCTATGTGCCCAGCATTGTTTTTGGCTCCTATCTAGAACACTTTTTATATCAGATCCTTTATTATTTCTAGTTTCTGCTATTGTGTCTTAAAAGCCATGCTGAATAGCACATCTTTATTAATTAACTAGAGGTCTGGTGCACGAATTGCATACCAGTGACATCCCTCGGTTGGCTTGCAGGATTGGGCTGAAACCAGCTCTCTGACATTCCCTAAGGGGTTCTGTTTTGAGAGAGGGGGAAGGTCAGGCCAAGGGACCCCACCAGTGCATGATTGGGGCCTGGGAGGGATGCAGGAGGTTGGCCAGCGAGGGAAGGACTGTGGGAGGGTTCCAGGGCGTGTCCTGCCTGTTTTGGCTGGACCCCAACAGCAAGCTAACCTACCAATTAGAGAGTCTGCCCCTGGTGGTCAGTGCATGTTATAGCAGGTGATTGAGCAGCTTTAGTATATTATTAGCATACTACTCTTTGATTGGTTGAAAGGATGTCCAGACAACTGGAAACTAGCATATTAGCTAAAAAAATTAGTTCATTTTCCTAATAAACATTATAAAATTGCTGCTGACTTCACTTCTTCACTCATAAGTTTCTTTTTTAAAATATACATTTTTATTGATTTCAATGATGCAGGAAGAGGGAGGGAGAGAGAGATAGAAGCGTCAAGATGAGAGAGAGAATCATAGATTGGCTGCCTCCTGCAAGCCCTACATGCTAGGCCTGTGCCTTGACATGGGATAGAAACGTGACCTCCCAGTTCACATTGACTCTCAACCATTGAGCACAAATGTACACAATTGAACGGACTCTGTATCCCAAACATCCAAAATCCATGCCCTCACCACTTAGCTATTTGTTCCGGGTCTACCCATTCTTCCCAGGTGCATGGGCATTGGTGGCAGAGTCTGCTGTGTGGGGGACCAAGCTGGGAAAAATGGTATCACAGACCCTGAATGATGACTCAGGGATATCTGGAATTGGAGTTCTGGAATCACAGTGGTTTGGAGCATGGTCAAGCAAACATGAGTGCTGACTCCAGATGGGCACTTCTCTTCACTCCACAGATCTGGCTTAGTGGTGAAGGTGTGGCCAGAGGACAGCTGGAGTGCTCAACACATACTTATTGGTTTCTCACCATGTACCATCACTGTTCTGGTCACTTGAGACACATGATTGGATGAATCAGTGTTCTGTCCTTGTAGATCTTATATTCTTAGAAGAGGAGAGGTAGACTGTTATTGCTAAATTTAATAAATATATAAACTCTACAGTGCATCAGAAAGTGAAAAGTAGTGTAGAAACAATGAAAGTTAGAGCAGGGAATGTGGCAGGGTTGGCCTCTACTGAGAAGTTGAGATTTGTGTAGAAACTTGAAGACACTGAGGAAATTAGCCAAAAAGATAACAAGAGGGAGAGAAACTGAAGCCTTTGAGAGTGGTGTGAGCACCTAGGGATAGGACCACGGTTGTCATGTGGGAACAACAAAGAGAATGAAAAGAGAGAGAGAGAGAGAGAGAGGGAGAGAGAGAAGTCAGAATGAAAACACTGATGGCCAGATTCCATCGCACGGAATTATAATGATACATATAACATGTAATTTAAATTTTTGTGTAGACACAATAAAAAGTTAAATAGAGCCAGGTCAACTTAACTTTAATAATCCAGTTTATAGAATGCAATATACCTAAATTGTAATTTTAATGCTTAATCTCTGAAGTCCAGAGTGTATTTTGCATTTACAACACATCACTCAATCTTTACTAGCTACATTTCAAGTGCTTAATAGCCCAATATGGCTAGTGCTTACTGCATCAGCCAGACCAGGTAGAGGTTTTGACTCATCATTGGAAACATTTTGCATTACTCTGAGTGACTTGGGAGAAGATTCAGCATTTCAAGAATTTAAGTGTCATGATATGATTTTTGTTTAAAGATCAGGGGTAGCCTTAACTAAGAAAACACCATAAGCGATCAAGAGTAGAAACAGAGAGATTTATTACAGTAACCTTGATGAGAAGTGATGGTGGCTCAGATGACAGCAGTGGCTGACATAGTACAAAGTGTTTGGATCCCTGACCGTTTTCGATATGGGACACATAGGAAGGGGTATAAGAGGAGAATCAAGAATGATCTCAGGACTTTGGCCTGAACAATAGGAAGGATCGTTTGACTTCAGCTGAGGTGGGGAAGGCTATTGGAGGGCTGGGAAAGGAAGCTGCCGGGTCAGTTTTAGAGTTGTATGTCTGAGAAGTGTATCAGATATTCAAGTGAAGATGTAGAGAAGGGAGTTGGACATGAGTGTGGACTTTAGGGGATAGTTTGGAGGTAAACGTTTGGAGATTGGCAAACTTAAACCAGGATAAGATCACCAAGGAAGTAAAAGTGTAAGGAGGAGAGAATACCAAAGACTGAGCACTGGGACATCTGAAATTAAGAGGTTTAAAATAACATGAGATTGATATTAAAAAAAATATAAAACATTTTAGTACTTTTGCAATGCATTTAATTTTTTACAAAAATGTCGCAATGCTCATAACTGTCATTACGATCTTGTTCTTTTTACTGAAAATCTATAACTTTATTTTTTAAATTGAATTTATCAGCTGATATTGGTTCACTAAACCCTATAGGGTTTTAAGTGTACAACTCACTAAGACATCAACTGCCCACTGCCTCCTGCAGCCATTGCTCCAAGCAGTCTCTTAAAATGAAACTAAAGCTTTTTGTGACTTTTTTTTTACTTTCAAATGTCTCATGCACCTTCAGTTAATTAATTTATATTATATATAAATACATTAAAAAGTAGACAGTAAAAATAAAAATTGTGTTCATAATCAAATGATTGACCATAATGTCTTTAATGCATATTTTTATATAAGTGTTCCCCAGAGACAGAGGGGGCCCCTGTTCTTCCATAGTTTAGCATTCAACACCAAATTAACAGTATGAAATCTGTCCCCATTAACAAACTTGATACAGCTTTGTTTTATTTGTGATAAGCTTACCAATTGCATTTTTATATGACATTTGATTGATGGTCCTGTATTCTTACGGATTTCAGTTTGTCAATAAACGGGATTTTGCCCTCACTGGTTTGGCTCAGTGTATAGAATGTTGGCCTGTGGACTGGGGGTCCCAAATTTGATTCTGGTCAAGGACACATGGGTGTGAGATAGATCCCCGTGGGGGGCTTGCAAGAGGCAGCCAATCAATGATTCTCTCTCATCATTGATGTTTATATTTCTCTCCCTCTCCTTTCCTCTCTAAAATTAAAAAAATATATACATTAAAAAAATAAATAAGATCTCCATGCCTTGAATTATACTCAAAATCCATTATTTTACTGTAGGCATATACATGACTTTAAAAACATACAACTCATATTTCAAATGAGATTTTTAACTCTTTGTGATATTATATTATCAAGGCAATTGTTTACAACATGGGGTGGAAATGGGTATATTATTAATAATTAAAAATAGACTTGTGACTTATTTTTATGTAAATAAAAATAAATATGCCGACACATAATCTTTAATGTTTTAACACAGGCATTTATTTGTCTCTTTTCAGTCTATTCGAGAAGTCACGGGCTACGTGTTGGTGGCTCTTAACCAGTTCCGTTACCTGCCTCTGGAGAATTTACGCATCATCCGTGGGACAAAACTGTATGAGGATCGATACGCCTTGGCAATATTTTTAAACTACAGAAAAGATGGCAACTTTGGGCTGCAAGAACTTGGATTGAAGAACTTGACAGGTAAGGAACATATATAAAATAGTAAAAATATTCTCATCAATATAACGTTGTAGGCACACACCTGTGTGTGTGCAGTTACTGCAGTGTGTGTTACCTTGAGGAGCACTATAAAGCATTTAATATCTACTTCTTATTCCTTTTGTGAGAAAGTGTTTCCTATGACGCCCTTGTTTTAGGTTCAGATATTGTGAGTGCAGTCTGAGGGAGACCTTAATACTGTTATCGCTGCTGAACACAAGCACACTGCTGAGGAATTGCTCAGTGACGGAAAACCCAGATAGGAAGCAGGTGTCAGAGTGCTGTGTCTGGGGTCTCAGGTGGATGGCCGACCATATCGTCAGAGCAGCAGGAAAGCAGCTCTCTCATTAAAGCTCAGTAAATACACCAGCCGCTGTATCTAGAATTTAGTTCAATTCCATATTTTTGGAAAACATATCTAATGTATTAATTCAGTTTTGATTTCTCCTATGTAGTAACTCGCTAAATGCCTCTGTGATTCTTTCTCAGAGCGCTTTAATTTCTTATTGTCAGTGATTCTCCCTCTCCCCCCGCAACCAGGGAGTCAATCTGCTAATAACTCAATGTTATCATCTTGCTACAAGAAAACACACATGGTAGGAATTTATTTTTAAACTGATCTTTGCAACCCATGGTATCTTCCTCGTTCAGACACTTCAGAGTTCACACAGTTCAAGCTCAGAAAGGCTGTGGTGGAAGGCTTTTTTGAGGCAGGGTTTCTAATTATACATTTTGCCATGGGTGCCTGCAATCAAAATGTGCTAATTAGTAATTAATTATCATCCCACAGTGGGATAATGAAGTCTAAGCTATTAATGTAATCTAAATTAATATCTGTATATTTTGCATCGAAATATATAGTGCCTTTGTATGTATTTGAGTTCATTCACTGTCAATGTTTCTTGATATTGAAAAAATGATACTTTAGAATACTACTTTAAAATGTTAAGAAATATATAAGATTATTACTAACGGGACATTTAAATTATTAGTTTATTTTATTTATAGTGTGTGTAAAATATTTCATTTTAAGTTAGAAGTAACTTCATCATTAGCCAAACATGGGAGCTAAAATTGGAATATTTTGGATGCAGAAAGGAATACTGATTATGTTATTGACTTTGGACATGATTGACATAGAACTGAATGCATGGTGATAAATGCAAAATTTATAGATTACTTCATCAACATTTTTATTTTGTTTCAAAGATAGTTATCTTACAAAAAAAGCAAGTTTTTGTTTTTGTTTTTTTACTAAATTACTACTTGCATGGAAATAATGATCGGAGGAAGAACTTGGAAATGGAACGGATAGAGAAAATTGCATGATTGAAATTAGGACTCTAAAAATAATATGGTTCAGTTAAAAGTTGCATAGGAAGCATTGGGTTTTCTTCACAATTTTTCTATGCTTAAATCAAAGAAGAAATGAATAATGGTTTTGAAATTTTTATAATTCTTGAATTACATTATTATTATTTTATTATATGTGATATTTATATACTTTTTCATACATAGGTACAAATTTAATACATAAATATGTACATTTTCTCACTATATGTTACATTAAACATTTGAATTTGTATTTTATGAATTATAAGGATATCTATTTAAGTATGTGAAATTTGGGATCTACAAATATATAATTTAAGTTTTTCAAAAGTTGGCCAAATACTCTCTTTTTTAAAACCAACATATTTATGTACTAGTGTCTTTATTTAATATTTTATAAGTATTCTAATTGGTTAATTGCATGTTAGGTCATCCTGATTAGATTATTTTTGAGATGTGGACAAAAACACATTTTAAACGAAAAGTGAAATGTTAAAATATTTTGGGGAGGTCTCAATAAAAAAGTAAAAAGTACATTAAGTTTACTGAATTCTGGTCAACTAAAAATAAAATAAAATAAAATAAAATAAAATAAAATAAAATAAAATAAAATAAAATAAAATAAAATAAAATAAAATAAAATAAAATAAAATGCTTCATCCAGGAGATGCATCTGAATGATGTTGCATTTGAAGAATGTAACTTCTGACTATTACATTTGAATGTCTGTCTTCAAATATGCATAAACTATCAATTAAAATAGTACAACTAACACAGTACCTTTTAAAGTTTAAGTTTCACAACCCCCTTCACATTATTCAGTAATGTTCAAATAAATAACCTGATATGGAAATGGGCAGGCCATTTGTAATTGACTCAATGTATTTTTAATAAGTATGGATGTGGAATGAGAAAACTATTCAAAAATGAGGTCCCTTTTCTTCTTTAAAATGGAAAATTACACTTCACTGTGTGGTTTTAGGCATTAATGAAATAAGCCTGGAACTTAGAATTGATTCCAAGAATACAGTTTGGCCCTTTCATGTAGAGGCTGCTTAGGGGATCTTAGTTTTCCTTCTCTGTATTGTTTTTAGCTTTTTAGCTTTCCTTTGTGTCAGCACACTGATGAAACAACCTTACAGGTTCTGCGTACTCAAATCCTTCCTGTTGCTTCATTGAGGTTTTGAAAGGTGACTTGTTGAGACAAAAAGTGGCATGGAATTTCATAGCCTCTTCTGATACCACTTTGAAACTGCTTTAAGTATAAGATCGTTTCTCTGGAAGTGAAAAGCCTGAGGCTATTTATTTATTTAGTCTGTTCTCGGTACTACTGCTGTCTAGTACTGTGCTCCTGTTGTTCAGTACTGTGCTCCTGTTGTTCAGTGGCTCCGGCCAACCATCTGTTGCTCCAGCCCTTCATTTCAAATCTCCATCATCATGTTTCATCTTTCATTGACCCTGACATTTGTCTTGACCTAAACAACAGACATACTCATTCTGAGTTCTTTTTCTGACATCACTGTTCCTAAGGGTTCTTCAGTTGCTCTGTGTAAGGTCTGACTAATGTTTGAATGGGTTCAACTAGCCTAGCTCAGATTGCTGTCAGATACAATGTTTGACAAAGGCACTGGTAATATTTACAATGAGAGTGCTACACAGCATGTTCTGAAATCTGGAGAAAATAGTTGATTCCAAGAATACTCCTAACTTAAGGATAAACTACTTGGAAACATTATTTAATCAAAACTAACATACTGAAAAATCCTCTGAGTCAGATGCTATCCATGAAGAGTGGTATATTCTTATGAAAGGGTCAATTTTAAGATCAGGTCTATAATTTCTAAAAAAAAAAATAATATTCTAATCAATGTTTTTAAAAGACATTGTTTGCTTGTCATGCCAGCTGCTGTATAGTGATTAAAAGAAGGAAAACCATAAGCAATGTGTTTTTGTGTACAGGCAAGACAGAAACATATATTTGAAAGGAAATGTTATAAATATGGGGTCAGATAGAGTGATCATTTCTGCAAATTTCTAGAATGTGTTCTTAGATTTAGAGAACCAATTTGTTGTCCCTAAGACACACTAAGATCTGTATGTACCCTCCCCTAAGAGAGAAAGCATATTAAGATTAAAATACTTTGTTATGAGAGCTGATTTGTTGAGAAAGCATGCTTGTTTGCTTATGCACTCAGAAAATGGGAGAGAGTCTTGGCTCTGCAGGATCCAAATGCAATATTAGAAACTGATTGGATATCACCATGAATCTATGATTTCATTCTGAGGAAAGCAGTAAAAGTATCAGAATATCTGCTTCCTTGACTTGAGAGCAGGACATTAGCTTTGTTGGGCCTGCAGACACCAATGATGATGGAAGGAGACTGGCCTTGGGGCAGTGAACACATAACAGTGTAGACGATGTGTGTGAAATTGTACTCTTGAAACCTGTATAATTTTGTTAACCAGTATCACCCCAAAAATTTTATTAAAAAATGGGAAAAAAAGAGTTTGCAAACTTTCTGCATCCATTCCCAGTCACCAAGCAATGCTGGGACCAGAGTCATTAGCTCTTTGCACCTTCTGAATGGCTAGAATCAAACCAGAGCTCTGGAGGCAGAGTGAGTCATGTTTGGGAAAACATGAATTTGTATTTCAGAAGGAAGAAAGAGAGTATGCAATCTTTGACAAGTCTCTAATGCAATTTAAAACATATGTAAATGTATCATCTAGTAAACTTTCTCAGTCTCAGATAAGAAGTGAGGCTTCATGTTGCTATCTTCCAATATTTATCGAAGTGACAATTATTATATTGTTATAGATTTATACATTTTTAAAAATATATTTAATTGATTTTTGTACAGAGAGGAAGGGAGAGAGATAGAGAGCCAGAAACATCGATGAGAGAGAGAGTCACCGATCAGCTGCCTCTTGTACACCCCCTACTGGGGATATGCCCACAACCAAGGTACATGCCCTTGACCGGAATCAAACCCGGGACCCTTCAGTCCCCAAGCCGACGCTCTATCCACTGAGCCAAACCGGTCCCGGCAGATTTATACATTTTTAAAAATGCTTTCATGTTCCTTTTTAGAATGTTCTCACACACACAGTTCAAGAATGCTAACTGGGAAAGTATTTTTATTGTTATTTTGCATATAAGACACAAGGTCTTGGGGCTAATGGGGTCAACTTGTGTGAAATCTAAGATTAGTTCCCATCTCTTCATATTGTGCCATTCATAACAATGCTTAAGACAATGTCTCAGGATGAGACCACAGTCAGCAAAATAATAAATTTCCTTTAAATATTTCAAAATTAAGCAGAAGAACCTAAGTTTACATTTTAGAAAGAACGTTGACTTTAATTGTGACATGATACTTGAATACATCATGGGTGTATGTACAGAAAATGGCAGTGAGTTGACAAAAATACATAAATAAACACACAAAATGATAATATTGTAAACACTAGATTTGATTTTAAAGATCAATTAATTCATTTTATAACCACTGCCATTCAACAGTGGCTTTCGAAAATCAAGGTTACTATACTCTTGGCCACTATCTGACAAATATTTGTTAATCGTTAGTTTTAATAGGGAACATTTAGGATTCTTTGGAATGTGATGCCAGTTCAAATATTTATTGACT